CTCTCTCTCTCTCCCTCTCTCCAGTTCATCAATGGGGGCCCAGCTGCTGCCAAACTCATTCACGGCACACAGAGCGAAGGCCACCCCAGTCAAGTTACTGAAGTGGCACTACAGTTGGCAATTTTTCTCTCTTTACCTAAAGTGTCTGAATGTATGGCAGTCAGATCAGAGCCAGCCCGTGCAAACCTCCTGTGGTTGGTGGGTGAAAAGGAAGTCAAAGAAATGTACACCACCCTTCTGCCTTCCCAGCAGGTTGAGGTGGAAAACAACAACAACAACAACAAAAAGAGGATATTCTTGCTCTTAAAAGTTCATTTAGGTCAGCTGATCCCAGAGAGCGTTGACTTCCTCATGTCCACACACACTCCAGTGTTAAGGGTTTTTCCTGCCAAAACGACGTAGGATGTAACGTAGCACCCGTCCCCGCTTGAAGAGAAGCTTCTCGTTGTGCCACAGCTGACAACAAGGAGGCAGGTTTTTTTATATTTCCTTGTCTGTCTTTCACACAGCATGTTTTGCTAATTGAACACATGCACTGGCCCAGTTTTATGCTGTATGATTATGTATTCGTGATATCTGGTCTTTTCATGCAAGGAGGCAAAATGTGTTTTTTTTTCTTATTTTCTCTTTTCTTTTCCTTTAGTGAATCTTGTTTTAGATATAAATAGTTTAATTATATGTTACAGGTAAGTGTAGATGTATCTGTTATGATCTGACATGGTGCCAGATTGTATTGCACATATATATACAAATATATACAAATGACATATTCATTGTCAGGACAAAATGGTACAAATACACAAGATAATAAGAAGATAAAGTGTGTAGTTGATCGAACGTCAACCTTTTATGAATGACAAACTTCAGGCTGTGAATTCAGCCAAAACGCACCAAACTCTACTGGACTCTGTTGGTCTCCTGCAGGTGAAGACGGGCAGGTGCTTTATTGATTCTCTCAGCAGTCGTCCCAGCAGCGTGTTTTTTTTTTTGTTTCTCATCCCTTCAGAAACAAAACTTTACCCTTTGTGCATTTTGTAGAGTAAATGTCACCCACTGCTTTTCCTGGCTCCTCTGCTCTTTCTGTAAGTAGTTGCAGCTCCTCATCTGTCATCTATTATGGCCATAAACCTGCTCTCTCTCTGATGTTATAAAGAAAACTAAAAATGCTCCACTAAACTGATTACTTAAGCTCAGGTGAACTCAAAACAAGGCAGAGCAAACCACTGTTTTACAGACAGTAGATGCTGTAGTGTTTACAATAAACTTCTCATTGTTGTAGAAATACTAAAACTATGCCGCCACCAAGTGGACAGAAACACCTATTACACATTTAAGATTTTATTTTCAATGTGTGGAAGGAGATTAGTTGTTGGGACTTTGATGACTTTTATGATTTTTGAAAAGAAACTCAATGACTTATATCATCTGGCCAAAAGTATGTGGACGTGTACCTTTCATCTGGGGCTGTTTTTCATGGTTTGTATGAGGCAAATCCTCTCTGTCTCCGATTGCTGTGGAAGAACTAGATTGGGCTACACAGAGCCCCGATCCCAACCCCAGCAAAGACCTTTGGGATGAACTAAAATGCTGACTGTGAGCGTTACTGCCCATCATCAGTGGCCAGCCTCACTTATCCTTGCAGCCAGTGTGCAAAATCTTGTGGAAAGCCTCCCCATAGGAGTGAAGGCTGGTGTATTAAAGGCAATGGTTTCAGGATTAGGTTCAACTATTGCACAAAAGTTTAATGTTCAGGTGTTCACATAGTTTTGTAAACATGTATTTTGAATTCTTCAGTAGTCATAACCTTCCTGCTATTGTTCTGGCTACAATTCTTTCCTTTGTCTTATTTATTCTTCACACACATACACATGTCCATCTGCACGCACACACACACACACACACACACACTAATGACAGTTTTTATTTATTCTTCTCTTCAGTGTAAATAAAAAAACAACTCTTAACTCTCTGATTTATTTACAATGAAAACACTTTATTTCATCATGTTGTAAGTATTATTTAATTGAAAATAAACATACCAGTAAAAAGGAAACAATACAGTTTGAAATTCATATCATATTCCTTGTGATACACCTTCAGTTTGATTGAATGGCTTTTTATTAAAGAGTCCTTCCTGTAAATCATGAGGATATTTGTCATTCATCATTACACATTCTATTCAATGCTTACAGTAAATAGTAACACAAAAAATCACAAGTCTACAGTAGAGGCTTGCCATACTGGCATGGCGGGCGGTTAAGATAAACTATCAAAGCATCACTTGCATGCACGGTTTATTGTCTACATAGCCTGGATGTAAAGAGAGCGTTACAGGACATCAAAAGCACTGAGAGGAAAACAAAAAAATCTTTTCTAAGACTGTGCAACTCTGTTCAATAACAAAAGTATATGTTAAAAGCTTTGCATTACACATTGTTACAGAGGTTATCCTTCAGTGTGTGCTCCTAGGACATACAAAATAGTCAGCTATTAGAAAGCACATGGCACATATAACAGCTAAGAACTCTTGAAGTGATATAAGAGCAATAATATGATAATAATAATAATACAGTAATAGGTGCAGTCTCCCCTCTATGTGTTTCTTTCCGATCTGTGTTACAATGTATTATATATACAGAGCAATCACATTTGTATGATGAATTAACTGTACATGGCACTTCAATAACACTATTTAACAGATAACTCATGTCGATGATTCTGAATAAATACAGAAGAAAAAATAAATAGAGGTTTTTATTCCAGTTTTCAATCCAGTTCCAGTTTTGAATCTAACAGTTCTTAGTATTTGTTCCCCATAAATTAATGTGTGCTGTCGGATGTGTACACAAACACACAGAGGAATAAGCTGACAAAAGACACTATTTTAGGTTTTTGAGTAAGTATGCCTTTGTTTCTCTGAACTTGGTGAGAATGTGTAGCTCACCTCAGGGGGGAAACATGATTTCTGGACCATTTTATAATACAACTTATAATGCTCATAATACTGATTATGTAAACAGATCATAAACTGGGAGCTACAGTATCTGTTTCCTGCAGCACTCACAAGCCAAAGTATTTAACCCACCTTCCATTCATCTTCCTTTCCTCTCTTTCACTTTTCTACGCCTTTTTTTTGCGCCCTCAGCAACCCATTAATTAATCCAAACTCTGTGTGAACGAGGCAAAATTAAATCAAAAATGAATCTCAGCGTTTGTCTTCTCTTGTCCACGCTAGACATGAAAAATGATATTGAGGGCTCTCAGCTGTAATCCATCCTTCCTGCCAGTCTCCAGCGTGGCTCTGAGACAAGAGCAAAGACTTATCAATAAGCAATGAGCAGGCTGATCATTAAGGAAAATCTGAGGATGGACTTGAAGAAATCTGGACTGTACAAGTAAATGAAGTGCCATCAGACTAACAAGACCAAGCTAGATGTTTCAGTAGGATAATTTTAAATGACGGGAGGGTGCCATGCTCTTAAAAATTTTAGTTTTTTTAAAAATTCTGGTGACTGAGTGAGTCCAGTGATGTGTTTGTTTCACGCCTTTCACCGACGGACCAAGGATTTCAGACATGGTTACCCTGGGAAGCAAGACAGCAGCTCTCCCATTGGTCCTTTCTAAACACAGGTTTTGTCGAGGTCAACTTTCACCGGCAGCGGCCCTGCCTCCTGACTCTCCTCTGATTGTTTCACAGCGACAGCAATCACAGGACTCAGGTGGTACGGGTTGACTTTGTGGGCATTATCCAGAAACTCTTTATCTCCGTTGATACTCAGCTGAAAAGACACAAAGAAGGAAGAAGTGAGAAAGCGAGTTCTCTTACACACAACTCCACCTACAATACTTGTGCTGACTTTTACACTCGATTTGACTGCATAAAAAAATAAGTCAGAGAAAAGACCACCATCAAGAAACACCACACTGGGAATACTCGGTTTTAAGCCTCCACGTGGTCCCATAAACGGACAATTCCTGTAATGATCTGATGCAGTATTGTAATTTAGGTTCGAGGGAAGGAGGAGGATGCACTGGTAACTAGCCTTTGATTTTAACAGGGTAAACACAGTGAATCTGGGGCGCATAAAGCAACTTCTGAGAGTGTGTGTCAAATTAGAGACAGCAGATGGAAACACCTTCAGAGAAGAAGACTATAACAGCAGCATGTTAGCCGTTGTGGAAGAATCTCATATTACAGTAATCTTTGCTCTTTTCATTCAAAAAAGAAATCCTCTGTGCAAGAGTATGTTTGATTTTTGAATTCCAGTGATGCAAATATCACAAAACAAGTAACGAAACATGACTTCAGTCTAAGTTGCAATGTACTACTGGATTTTCAGCAAAATCCCCCGTACTTTCCCTCTACTCGCACTGTCAAGTATGCTGAGTCACCCCTGGGTCTGTAAATTAAACTTAAGCTTATTAAGTCATTGCTGGTGTGGGTACTTTTCTGTGTGTGTACCTGCGTCTTGATGTGCTGCTCTGGCGCAGTGACGAGGCTGGCACAGCTGAGCCACAACATGACCATGATGGACAGGAAGAGACAGGCCGCTAAAATCCACCGTGGAAGGCCTGAACGTCTGTAAAGAGTTGTACACGAAAAGGAGGCAAGAGTTAGGGGATAGATAGAATACAGAGAACAGCAACATTAAGGCACCAACAAACAGAAATAACCTGAATGTAAATAAATGTGTGACTTTCAATTTCATACACTAAAAAAATCCCAACTACTTTAAATTCCCTTTCTCCTTCCTTAATGTCAATATGGTATTAAAATTAGCTCTTGTGGGAAACACTGAGTTTGATATTCCATCTTAGTGGATGAATCTCAATCCATCATGTCTCCCTTTGTCATTGTGGATATGCACTGCACAATAATATCGTATGTTTGACCACAACAAAAGCAAATAAGAAGCTTGCTGTAATGGATTAACATATCTCAACTCTATGCAAGTTGATTTTCATACTGACAATAAATTGCCCAAACGAAAGCAAATTGTGGTTTGTTTTAGATGGATTTGCAGTAACATGAAGTATATTTTAGGGGGAAAATATTAATTCTCAGCAGGGTAACTCAAGCTCAAGCTCACCTTGACATGCAGCCGAGGAAGTCGTGCTCAGCTGTGGGGTCGTCTGCATGCTGGACAGGGTGCTTCCCTTTGCCTCCTGCTTTGGCTGCTCCCCTCTCACCATGACCCCTCACACCTGCCAAATGAGAGGATATTGCAGCAACATACACTTGCTGCTATGCATAGCCCGATAACACGTGCTTGTATTGCATGTGTGTTGTGTATATGTGCTCACCATGAGGTCTCTGGGTGTGAGAGTGGACCTGAGGCCAGGGTTTGTCGGCCACGTTGGATCGAGGAGCCTGCAGCTCAGGGAGGGAGTACTCCATCTCTGGCTGGCTCTGAAAGGGGAAAAAACAACGACAAAGACACTCAGCCGTCATGGCAGCAATTATACACACAGTAATTGACCAGCAGAACCAGCAGGAAAGGAGCTGTTTAACACTGTGAGGTTAGTCCACAGAGGAGCTCCGACTAAGAATAGTTGGCTGAGAAGGTGGACGAAAAGAGAAACACCAAAGGAGATGAATCAAATGTGAGGAGAGGCAACCTGAAGATTTAACTTTTACATTTCCACAACTAAACTTCACATAAATAAATAGTAAGACGTTTAGGAAAATATGCTTTTTAGCTTTATTCTCAAGGTTTAGATCATACGATTGATGCCACTTTCATACAGTGGGTGACTATATGGTAACTATGGAGCTAGAGCCCGAGGTGATTAGCCTAGCTTATCGTAAAGACCTGAAGCAGGGGGAAACTGCCAGCCAAAAATCTAAAATTAAAAACAACAGTGAGCTTTATAGGTGCCAGTGGGTGGATTTTTGTTGACATTTGTTACCTTCAGACAAAGCCAGGCTAGCTGTTTCCAATCATTATGCTAAGCTAGGCTAATCACTTCCTGGCTCTAACTTTGTATTTAGCCTTCAGACATGAGAGTGGTATCAATGTTCTAATCTAAATCTCAGCAAGAAAGCAATAAACCATATCTCCCAAAATGCTGAACTACTCCTTTAACACCACATTAAAGGTGCAGAAAGCAATTGTAGGTAATGCAATTCTAACCCAATACAATCAAATTCAGCGTCCCCACGTTCTGCTAGTTTTCCACCCTGTGTGTGCTGAAAAAAATCTGGTGTTTGTACATGGGAAACAAACAAAGTGGATCGGCCCGAGCCATGACATCCTGTTATTATTGTTGTGATGTTGGCTATAGTAGCAGGAGAGTTGAGAGTGCTGGTGTGCTTGCTCTGGGAAACAGCAGCAAATTTAGTTTGCTAAACCTAAACCTTTACTAAACACTTGTGGTGTCATTGTTCACACTCTATAATGGTATTTTTCATGGCATTGATTTTTTTAATTAGGATGATGCTGATTTTTTTTGACACATTTGATAAAGATTGACATTGACAAAGGTTAAAAGTCAGCAGTGGCTACTGTCTACAACCCTGTGGTAGACGGTAGGACAGATCATGGAAAGGTGTAAAAGTTATATATAAAAACAGATTTTTTAAAAATCTGAATCTGAATTTACTCTGTTAGTAAAAATAAATGTCTCCTGAATCATATTCTAGCACACTAGCAAAATGATAACTGTTTAATCTTTATTTTGAGCCTTCAGTTTGTTGTATAACTTCATTAAACTGCCTTGAAACCAATGATTTCCATTCATTGTTTTTGCCAGCTCAATATGCCCGGGTGTCTCTCACAGTATCTTTCTCACCCACGTAAAATCAGTTTAGTTAAACCCCATGAACTGGGACTGAACTGAACTGAAAGATGGCTTTTAAAACAACTGCTACACACATATGCACACAGCGTGCTGTCAGTATTTGTGTGTTTCATTATGTGCACAGTGTTTCTGGTTCCCCTGGAGAACTCATTAAAAGAGGCTTTTGGTTCCCCACTGCTGACCCTCTCTCCACTACAACAGAAGCTGTAGTTGGTTGTAACAATACTATTGCTGGCCTCAGCAACATAACCACACACACACATAGTATTTAGAGCAGTATGGTATAGCCCACTGCAGTAGTGTCAACCTGCCAGTATTTATGGATTCTGACACTAAGTGGATCAATTAACTTTGAAACGTCCAACCTCAGTTTCATTAATTCTGATTATGAAATAATTGATCTGTTTTCTACTGAATGATTTCCACCACCAGAATAAGAAAACAACATACTGTAGTTGACTGTGGAGACATGGCTGGTTAGTTTTCTTCCCAAAACACATACAATCCTTCAAACCTCTGTTTAAAAAAAAATATTATTATTTCACAACCGGGTTTATTACCCCTTGCAAGCAATGCTTTCTGACAGAGTGCATTGAAACCAGATGCAGCGCCAGTGTAACCGTTAGGGGAGACGAGGGTAGATGTGAGGGGGGTGATTCTCATTGGCTGCACACTGAAGAGATCTAACCATCAGCGAACCCTGATCTGCATCTGTCACGCATTATGAGAGCGAACACAAAAGGTGCTCTGGCTTACAGAAAGAAAAAGCAAAGAGAGAAAGAAAGAAAGACTTTGAGAGTTCAGAAATGTCTCAGACATAAAGACAGGGTTTCATGCTGACTCCTAATCACAATCACAAAACTGCATTGGGTCTACATGGATAATAGTGAATTCTTCTCACATATCTGAGCCTCCATACTGAGAGGAGAAAATGGTTGCTAAGTGAATCTTACTCAACACTGGCTGTGCTTTATGTTTAATTAAAAAGTAATCATCAAACAAAATAACCCTGGAAAACAAACGACAAACGTTAAAATTAACACAAAAAGGAAAACAATGTAACGGTCCAAATATTTAGAGTACATTGGACGAATGGTGTTGAAATTATGGCTTTTAATCTGGAGGCATAAAATCTGAACTTTAATTACAGCACCCCCATGTGGTCAATTAAGAGCACTTTGTATATTTTCATTAGGTGTGGAAAGTCACAGAAAACACAACATTTATAGAAATGACAAAAACAACATGTGTAAAAGGTTCAGTAGCTCATACTGAAGGACAAGACTTCAGGCTTAAAAGATAACTCTGGTGATATTTTGTATTTTTATGTAAACAAATCCAATGATCCACCAAAAACCAACAATAAATTGTTCCTATAACCAATATTCTCTGAGTACAGTTTCTTACTCTGTGCCACTGTTTTCCAAAATCAACTGTAAACATATCAATGAGCCACAACATTATTCTGAGCAACATCCTCATACATTAAGATGAACATAAGCAGACAGGTAGCACATGGGTAGTTTATTTGAAATAAAACCCATATAAACCATCCTGTTGCCATAAATACTCACTAGTGCATCAAATGCGTATTAATCTGACATAATCTCTCTAACATTATAGTGCTACTTTAAGAGCCTTCTTGAAAAAGGAAAAACATTTGTGAACATTTTGTAAAGATCTATGTCCTCAGTAGGAACTAATGGGCTTGTGGCTGAAAGCAACAGACATGGTAAGGAGGGTTTTTTTTGGTCTTTTCATGGAATTTAAAAATAATAAGGAATAAGAAAAACATAGAATATTACCAGCCTTACCATGCGTGCATACTGTTTGTAGTGTTCATTCTTAAGTCATCTTGTGCCTGGTTCCACTACACTGAAAGTCAAAGTCGAAGTCTTGCATTCTTTAAAACACTTTCATTTCACTGATTCTCTCTGTTCAGTCTAGGGTTTTTGTTTTAAATTCATTTGGACAGCAGAACAAATGGGGTAGGGGCTTCTCTCTTCTTATTCAGTTCAATTTGTTCTGCAGGCCGGTAACAGAACCACAGCTCAGTTGGAGGAAGTCTTTAGTCGACTCCCTTTTGTCCCAAACACTCGCACACTGTCGCACTATCATGGGTTGAAGGTGGTGAGAAGGGATTGACTTGAGGTATAGGGCTGGGTTATGTGAATATTTCCTCATAATTACAAGTTTTCTTTATTTTTTCCTTCCCTGGGGACAAACCTCAGTTGTGACCTAAGAGTTGCTTTACTCCACCCTTATAATCTGCTGCCACTGACCTGTTACTCGTAGCTGTATGATTGTGTTTATGATGCTTGAGGCTGCACACAACTTTCCACAACTTAAGGTCACACAAACACACACACAAGCACACGGACAGATGTATATAGACAGCTCATTATGGACATCCACATAATTTATATTGCAGGCAGCTGTCTTCCCCCTCTGCTGTCCCTCAAGTTAGCTGGACTTTTTCTGTTGTTTCAACACTCAGAGAGTCAATCTGTCAAGTTGGTGGCGGTTTGCCAGCTGCCCACTAAACACAGGCCTGATAGTCTTCTCACAGCCCCGTGGAGCCTGGCTTCCCCTCACCGCTTCAGCCAGCATGTCACTGCCATAAAGAGCAAACATCCATCACCAAGTCCAAAAGAAATGTTGGTAATTTCATGTTCTCTGGCTGCTGCATCTCTATGTGAGGTCAGCTTGCACACAGCTTCTTATACCTAATAGTGAATTTCAGCGTATAAAAGACTTCTCTGTTGCACAGAAGCCTTTCTGTATGGGCTAGGGTGTATAAATACTATCATTTCCCATTGAGCCCTTTAATTATGGAGCTAAAAATGCCATCAAAGTCACATTATGCAAACGGGAAAACCCCTGACAAGGAAGCAGGTTTCTGACTTGAAATTTGGAGGATATGGTTGGCTAGTCTAGTGGTTAGACAGACCAAACCTTATTATAGCTTTAATGTATAGGTGGTTTATGGCATTGACTTTAGCAATAATCTGACCAGAAAGCAGCACACATCTGCCAAGGCTGGACAAATGTCTAAATTAGCTATTTCATAGAAAATGTGAAAAAAATGCTGGATCTAGTTCTGCATGCAAATACCCAAAGTGACTGATAATCATTGTCTGTAGACTGAAGTAAGTACTTAATTAATGAAAATGTTAAAAAATCACTGGACGAACTTTCTGCCAAATTTCATTCAAATCAGTCCAGTTTTTGAAAATTCCAGAAATAACTTCTGAATATTTATTTGTCAGAGCCAGAACTTTATTCTTTAGTGCGGTCCACTCTCTTTTAAATATTGCAGTGTGTTTCCTTCCTTAGGCGAGTTTGCCACAGCTAGCCCTGCCGGTTATCAAATATGCATGGTACTGAGGGTATGTGACATAATTTAAAAGGACATTTATAAACAATTAAAATGCTAAAATGAATGAATTCAACCACCTTGTCCCCACCCTGCTGTGTGCCCTTGCTCACTCAACCTTCACAGATGCGCTGACACATAAATGGGCTGTGAGCTGTTCTGGCATCCAACCAAACTCTACAGCACCGTATAGCAGATGATATATTTCACTATCTTAACAGGAAGCAGTGGTTAGCTCAACTAATGATCTATAAAGGTCCATTGCTTTTAACCTTCAATTAAAAACATACGACATGAAAAGCTTTGTAGACTCAAATTTATTGCAAAAACCAGACAAACTTAACAGCCTGAAATCGTCCGCATAAAATTAACTATCCTCAAAAATATTTCAGTGTTAATTTGTCTGGTTTTTGCAACAAAGCACTAAAAGATCCAACTCTCTTGTCATATTCTGAATGATTAGGTGAAATTTTGCAGTTCTACAAGTAAGATAAAAAAAGGCCTTACATGTTGATTATTTGTCACAACATGTGATTTTTAAATTAATTCTGATTCATGGGAGAGACAAGAGACAGAGACAAAGACTGTACGTGTGTGGATTGAAGATTCAACCAAACCTGGAAGAGGACTCACTACAAGTTGATTTTGCTGCTGTGTTTCTGCATTGCAGGTGCACAGATCACTTGTCAGCCTGTTTTCTTGAATTTTTGGGAAGGATGTATGTGGAAGTTGTTTTTTTCCCTTCAGTTTAGCAGCTATTATAAACAAATGGCTGCTGCTTCAAAACACAAAAACACATCATGTCGAGCTAATTTAAAAGGTTTTGGGAAGTGGGTTTAGGTTAAAACACAATAAGCTATATTAATTGTCAATGGAGGGCAAAAAAAACATCATTTACATGAACATTTTGCTGAATATAACTTTTAACCATTTATCTATAAAGAGTAAAAAATGGACAGATCAGACATAAATCCTTTTTGTGAAGCAAGACTGGAGCCACCAAACAGAAAGCCTGTCCTGGACAAACACTTTGTTGGGTCTTACCTGGAAAACCACAACCTTGCCATCATCAGCCTGCAGGTAGAAGGTCCAGGTGGAGGAGATGAAGCTCTGGGCAGAGCTGACGATGTCGTTGCACCAACTGGACACGGCCTCCATCACAGAGGGAGGCTTAGGGCGGAGAGTCATGGCTCTAAGCTGCAAAAGAGAGAACAAGACACCAAGCATTGACTGTGTATGTGTTTCAGTAAATGTACTCACTTGTATTCTTAGTGGTGATATTAATATTCAGACACCCTAAGTCACTTTGAGCCTTATAGCTGCATGTGCAGTATTTACATGTGCAGCTATTGACTGCAGAGCTTTCTCACCTTCCTCCTCTTGATCTCAGGTTCAGAGGGTTGGCTGGCACAGCCGGTGCTGCAGGCCTCCTGCTCCAGCAGCTTGATATATGCTTCCTGGCATGCTGGAGAGAGAGAGGGAGGGACAGTTGTGAAGCATAAAAGAAAAAGCATGATGGTAAAAAAAAGAAGAAAAAAAGGGAAGACAATAAGAGGGGGTTGCGAGTGCAAATGGAGGAGTGAAAAGAGAAATAAGAGGCACAAAAGAGAGTGGGCATGCAGCATTACAGTCAGTCGGGTAGAAGATGAGAAGAAATAAATCAGTTCCAGGCAGTTTATGTGGGAAGAAAGATAAAGATGCAAGGGAGATGTATCTCTTAGCCCTTGCGGAGACGATTCACTCCACGTTGCTTTTATTAAAACAGGGGGCGACAGGCATCTGCTGTCTGGACGGCAAATCACATCATTGATTTCCAATACAGCAGTTCAAACAGGGCGAACAGCCTCAAACGCCCAGAAAATACCCACTGAGCCTGCCAGCTTTTAGGAAACAGTGCAACATTTAGCAGAGCTCTTGTGTTTTAATGTTCAAGAGATGTCGGTCTGTACCAGCTAAGGAAATCCATGTGATTGTAATGTAGCTGCTTTTGTCTTGCAAACCTAGAATTTACATTATGTTTTTAGCTCCACCTGTAATTATCTTTATATATTTATATATATGTATTCTGTCCAACTTTTACACCAAGGATACCACGCATATTTACCTTTGGGTAAAAAGAGTGTATAAATGATAATTATTTTCCTGTCTTGTCAAAAGGACCAAAAGGAAGGACGGAGGAGAGGTAGAAATTACTGCAGTAAGAAGTGGAACCTGCACATTATGTTGCACTAAGTAGACCTTGGTTCAAAAGACTATATACTGATTCAATTTAGATTTTATTCCTAGGAGGATTTGCGCCACTGTCATTCTTTTTGACACAGGATTGAGGCCTCAGCAGCAGCTTAAACAGCAGGACTGTAAGACCAGCAAACTCATTCAAACAGTCCAACAGAGAGATTGACACACTGACTCACCTCCCTGACACTCCTCCCTGCTGGTATTGAAGCCGGCGTTGCCGTTGACAAACTGGCAAATGGAGTAGAGGCGACAGCCACGGTGACAGGCGTTCATTACGGAGTCCTACCAGCCAAACACAGAGACGAGGAGGGACACAAAATTAGAGACGTCTCCTGCACTCTTGGATAAACTCAACATAACCTTGTTAGAAAATATGACAGAGATTGGTGATGACATCTCTAATGACACGCTGCAGCTGTTGTATTATAGGCTGTCAAAAACAGTTGATAAGAAGCTTTTAGTTACTGCAAAGGAAAAACTGGTGATAATGAGCCAGTTGCATAAAGCTTGTGCAAGAAAATTAAGTAGTGAGAAAGGAAGATGCACATTACTGTACTTCCTCTTGTCATAATGCCTTAATTCTCTGTTTGAAATGAGGAAACTGCGCCCTCTGGTGACCCTTCAGGGAACAGGAGCGACAAAGAGATTCCCTGACCGCGACCATGGACGGTTTATTACAGCCTTGTGCGTGCCTTCATCTTTACTGCGTTTCCCTGTTTATTGACAGGAGGCAGAGAGGGATGTTTATCCCGAACCATGAAACTGTGCCTTATACTTTAACACCCTGAATGCTTATTCAACATCGCTGTAGTTTGCATCCAGTGTGATAGCCCTAAACTCGACATATATGCACAGTTTCAGTCACAATCTTCAAACCAGGTGACTGTGATCCGCTTTGCAGCTCCGTTCCTGCTGCCCTGCAGGACGCCTGAACCACACCTGAAGGCAGCAGAGGAGGAGGAGGAGGAGGAGGTGGGGAAGAAAAACATCCGACACTGGAAATCTGGGCAATGCACTAAACCACAGTAACTCCTGGTGTAATTCACAGCCATCATCTACCGTCCTGTTAGGATCCAGTCTGGCCTTGCGGTGTGAACTGTCAATAAAGGATAATTGCTTCACGGTTCACAATAGTCTCACTGATCCCCCATAGCCCGTGTGCGCTGCGTCTGGCCTGGCCGATCTTAATTGCGGATTAAGAAATGATCAGTTATTGGCGCAGTTTATTTTAAGTGCATCCTAAGATGAGCTGGATGCAGTTCACTTCTTGGACGAGTCTTCAAGGTGCAGAAGAAAATGAGCTGCATCCATTTTTCGGCCTAATTGTGCCGTAGCATCCGAGAAGGATGCAGCGAAAAATCGGGGCGAACACGGTGCCCGTCATTACGCACAGAGCTAAACACATTTATTTTACATTTTTCATATAAAGATAGAGGCTTAAATGCCGAATGTATTGCGTGAGTCTGTGCATCGTTGCAGGCGCTGAAATGTCGGACAGCAGGATGTCAGCTCGATGCTGATAATGCGCTTTCTGCAGAGACAGCCTACGCTACAGCCGAGGGGAATAACTTACTTTAGCAGGGCTTTTGTTTTTGATGGTGAGCTGGCATTGCTTTTTGCAGTAATTGATGTCGCCCAGTTGGTTGTCAAACAGATCGGAGGACGCCGCCGCGAGCCCAGCGAGAAGCACCGAGACCAGGGCCGACAAGCTGCACATCCTGCCGCCGAGCCGGAGCATCTCAAACCCTGGAGGAGAAGAAGGAGAGCGGAGAGTCGAGTTTAAAGCAGCACTGAGCTCCCTTTGTGGCGGCGCTGCTGGTGCGGATGCTGCTGCTGCTGCTGCTGCTGCCTCAGCCCGGGTCCTGTCTGCTCCGCTGGTCTGCTTCTGCTCGTGGCGTCACGCGCATCATCATCATCATCATCACGCACAAGCTGCCCCCCCCCTAAACACACACACACAACCTGCAGAGCAGCCTTCACTGCAGTGCACAAAGTGGCAATGATGACATTCATAAATGGCAGATAGTTGATGAGGGGCCGAGCTGCGGGGGGCAGATTGCACACCGCAGACAGATTATACACGATCAATGTCACAATTATCGGTTCAATGAAAAGATCCTGCTCCAACACATGTGGGCCACAACATATAACAGCTGAGGAGAGATTACCCGGAGACAACAACTGATAAAACTATAGTGGGTCAGAGTTATGGGCCTATAGTGTCTGTTTGGTTTATTTGTGAGGCACTCTGTAACTTTGCTTATAAAAGTGCTTAAAATAATAATTTAACATGATGATGGTTATCATGAATATTGTGAACATTACAGGAATAGTATACACTACTTTATAATAGTTAAAGATCTCACATTAACCCACATATACATATAGTCTGCGTGGAACAATAAAGTGTGTCTTATGTTTTTTAATATAATTTCCACATCAAAACCCTTAAAAAGTCATATACTCCTTGTACCTCATTAAAAATCACAGAATCTATCAATATATACATTTTGTACATTTTTTAGGTTTTCCTGCTCGACACAATATGTCTCCTACTTCATTGTAAAGTCCATTTTCAGTGTATGTGCACTGGTGGCTTGAAGTTTTTGTTCCTTACACTTATATAAGTTGCATATTAGGAGGAGATAGATACATTGATTGACCTCCAAACTGTGATATCACAAATAAGCTGTAGCCCCGCCCCTTAAACATCTGATTTTCAATGAGCCAGAGAAACTTTCCACTTTCAGCAGATTAATGTGAAATCATCCTTCTAGTGTCAAACTCTGCACATACATCATTCTGCACAGTGAAGATCAACCATCCAACTGTGGGAACAAGAAGACAAATATATTTTTGAGTGGAACTGAAGTTGTCAGTTCCTTAAGAAAAAACAGTAATAGGATACAACTGTGTAAAAATACTCAGTTACAACTAAAGGTACAACATTTTTTCCCCAAATAAGTAAGTAATAAGTATTTTTAGCAAAATTCAGTTAAAGTATCAAAAGTAAAAGCACTCATTCTGCAGAATGACTATTATATTATATATTATTGGACTAGTTTTATTATGTAAGCAGCAAACTAATGTTGTAGCTGAGGTGGAGCCAATTTATTACACATTGATATACTTTTAGACAATTAAACAATGCGAAATATTTTAAAAGTTGTGTATATAAATAATTCATGTAGTATCAAGTATTTGTATGTAAAATCTTAATGTGACTGAGTAGAGGCAAATAAAGTGAAAGGACCTTAAAATGGCGCTTGTCTACTATTAACTACACACGACCTCACCTGAAGCAGCCTACCACTGGCGATACAGGAGACAATTAAAGTGTGTACTGCTTATTT